CTAGTCTGACCTCCAGATGTGTTCACATAAAATCATTCACAGAATAATTTGGAATAGTGAACATATTTTCTTTTAAATCATTCAATTTGTGAGTAATTCACAAACAGAAAAAAGGGCACACACACACACACACACACACACTACTTATGCAGTTCCCTCTCAAGAGCACCAGGAAGCTTTACAAAGTCCTTTATAGTTCAAAGCAGCCTCTAAAAAGAATGACAGCAGAAAGCTTACTAATTGGAATCACACATTAGTTACTGAAAGTACAGGACCAGATCTTGAGCCCCCATTCCATCTCTTTTGAGCTGCTCCAGCAACACATAGCAAGTGGAAAGTCAGCTTAATAGGCCAGTAGGGGATTTGCTCAGAGCAGAGGAATCCCTGGACAGTGTAGAACTGGCAGAAATGACTCTGTCATCCTCCTTCACAGGCCCTGCGTAGGGGGAGTGTCTGGGATGCAGCCAGAGGAGGGTGAGTGGCTGGACCACTGCTGTGGCCCAGAGATCCCCAGCAGGCAGAAAGGCCAGTTGGGGGCAGTTACTAATCAGCATGATTTAGAATAGACTTGAGGCCCTGAGAGCTGAACTGGCCCCCACCAAGAGTGCCATGGGTGGAAATGCACCCCACAATAGTCCCCAGGCAAGAAGCAAGGCAGGAAAGCATGTTCTCAAAAGGAATGAGAAATACTTGTTGAGAGTGGAATCCCCTTAAGGAACGATTTCCAAAACCAGGAAGAATTTCCGGGTTTGCCAGCTGAAGCTTGCAGTAGGGACTATTTCCACCAACCCGGAGAAGCAATGGCAGAGGGTTTGGGTGGGGTTTTAACAGTTGGACCTAGGAATACATTGTAGTTAGGGGATAAACAGGTAATTAGGAAACAAGTGGTGTGCTCACAAAGAGCAAAGCTGAGGAGCCACACAAAAGAGCAGGCAAAGGAAAGGATTTTGCCCTGTGAAAAGTGTTTTATCTGGAAAAGGATTGAAAAAATTAAATAATTGACCTGACTTTATGCTCGTGAGAGGCAGGAGTATGATATAATATGGACTAAAGCTTGCAGGTGTACAAGGCAGAAAATATGGCAACAAGCAAACAACCAGCCTAATAGCCAAAGCGCATGCGGTGCAGGCAGCCCGAGCGAATTTCACCCTGGCACAATTAACTATGCTCGTGGATACATCCTGCCAATGAGAACAGATGTGTGCCATTCCCACAAAGGGCGTGTGTTTCCAGGACCATGGGCAGGGCTGGGACAAAATTATTATTAATTATTTACTCAACAGTGATGCCTAAAGGCCCCAATCATGATCCAACAAGTGTGTATGCTGCCATCCCTAACAAGATCAAGCTGGTAGCAATTACTATGAGCAGGCTGCTCCTGAAAAAAGGAGCAGCAAACAGCATTGCACAAATTGTGTCATGGGTGATACTGTAACGTGCAATAGAAGGAACTCCCTGGCACCATAAATGTTTTACAGTGCAACTCACCATGCAATGCTATCCAGCTTTCCCCCTCAACCATTATAACAGGATTTGCCTCTGTATAATTTAGAATAGACCAACATTAAAAAAAGAATGAATAACATGATGGAGCAAAATTGCTTACATGTTTTATAAAATTTAGTGCAATTTTTTAGCTAATTATGTTCAGTTGATTTTTCAAGTCCTCACAAAATGACTTTGCAAAGTGTTGAGGCCTCAAAAGAGTCTTTCCAGCACAATGTTTTCATCTTCCAAAATTTTGTGTATTCAAAAGACAGGGAGGGACAGAGCACAACAGTCACACACTCACTGACAATCAGAGCAGGTCAAAACTTTTTGCATGAAAAATCAAAATAATTTTTTAATCATTATCAAAATTTTTCATTTACCAGAAACCTAATTTTCAGTAAAAAGAAAAATCTCCTGGATTTTGGTAAATTGAACATGTTGATCATGATTTTGTTAGAAAGTTTGATTAAATATTGTTTAAAAATGGTTAAAATATCATGAAAAGTTTAGTAAAAAATGGGAAATGGGTCCATTTTAAACCCTGCAAAATAGATACTTCAAAATGTTGAAATCTTTCTGAAATCATTTTCCTGTTTTTTGAACAGCTGTATTTGGAATGTTACATGCCCACACAAAATCTTTGTTAATTTTTACACATGTTTTTTAAGGGAGCCAACTCTTTGGTACCTAAACGTAAGACTTCCAAAAACATACAAGTACAGAAGTTTGGAAATTTCTAGTCAAGGTTGTCTACCTAGAGGTAAAATCCTGGCCCCACTAAAGTCAATGGCAAAACTCCCAGAGACTTCAATTTTGTCTGCATTTCACCCTCCATTCCCATTCAGTTACAGTTTCAACAATTAAAAATATGATGCCTACAAAATCACAGTGCAGCCATTTACACTGGTCAGAGTCAGTCACAGTGGACTTAATACTACCAATTCGCAATGGAGATGTTTTACATCCACTTTGCACAACTGTACACGAGTCACAAGGCAGTGAAGAATCCTTCCTACTCCTTAACAGCCTTAAGACTCCATAATAACCCCAACATAAATGTACCCCAACATAAATCAGGTCTTGGGGCCTGATTCTCCACATGATTATATCAGTTTTACACCAGTGCTACGATACTGAAATCAGAGGAGGTACAGTCAGGTGAAACTGATGGCACTGAATGGAGAATCAGACCCATTGCCTCTTTTGAGACGCTAACAGGGTCTTTAGACTGAGCAGAAATTGCCAGTATAAAGTATCCTGGGCCAAATTCAGAAGTCTTCACTTAGCCCAGTACTCAAAACTTTTCTCTCCTTTTTATCTGAAGGCCTGATCAAGTATTTCAGGATTTGGTGTAGTTTGTGTGTGGGTTGTGTACCAGGAGCAAAAATTCTCTGAAGAAATCGCAGCCACTGAGTTGTGATTTAGTTGCAGTCAAAATGGATCCAGCTTTTCTTCTGTTTAAACTTCATTATCTTTGTCAAACTCTACCTCATGTCCTTTTAGAAGCTGAATTTAGTTAAGATATCTATTGTGCTAGGGAATATTTAAGGTAAAAATACATGTTAGCACTGTTGAAGAGCTATATACTTTCTGACAGCACTCTTTACCCTCTCTTCACTCAAGCCAATCAATGGGAATTTTGCCTGATTGAACATAGATAAGGAACGCTGAATCAAGCCAAACATTTGCAAGCAAGACTGATGGCTTCCCCTAAACAAAGGGTATTCCGCCATCTAGTGGCAAAGATGTTTCAACATTAACAAAACTTGCTTTAAAAAAATCAAATTGAAACCTTTGCACATATGACTCATTATTGTGGTTCATTTCTCAAAGCTAATTATGGTGAAGCAGCAATATTATACTGGCGATGGACACAGTATAAAAACCTAGTGAAATGGAATATAAATAGGTAGCCTTGCTGACAGCACAAGGTGGAAACAGGAATCACACAGCAAGAAAACTGCTACATGCATTGGATTGAGATGCGTTGCCAATTTTTATCTATGAGTCCATAGCCCACATTAATTTTCTGGCCACAGTCGTGTCTCTTTTTGTAGTGTGGTGCCAGGCTGTCCCAATGAGAGGATCATGTACCACATCTTCAGAGAACCAAAGACTAGCCAGGTTTCAGAGTAGCAGCCGTGTTAGTCTGTATCCGCAAAAAGAACAGGAGTACTTGTG